CTGCATCTGTGGACACGATGTTGGCATTCGAATACATCAATCGAAGAGTTTTATGGCAGTGTCTCTCACTGACATTGGTGTCCTGTAAGTACATCGTTCTGGTGAAGACTATGCACTTGAACCTCCGCAGATATGTTGGAGCCCATTCTGGGTTGTATCCGTCAAGGATGTCCAATGTTAAATTTCATCATGGACTCTCCTATAGAGGCTTACTTTTTGTCATTTTATATCACAAAAGAATTCTCGATAAAGTACTCAGATGGTATAGTCCTTTTAAGTGGGGGTGCTAACATTGAGTGGCAATTTGAAGACGTTTGGTGGAGTTTCTCGCCACCAAAATGCAAGTTTCTGCTTCAAGATTGGTTTCTGCGATTTCCCGGATAACAACAGAGAGTGAACAAGCCGAGCGCGTCTAACAACTTGCTTAAATGGGAGGTTAGATCAAGCCTACTGGGTTGGTGACCAACGGAATCTCTAAATGTAGACAAAAGGCTCGACTGACTTTCGCTAACTCACGCCATCTGCGGTATCCGACACTCCAGTAAAGGGTGAAATCAGTTGGTGAGGTCGCAGACCTTTACCAATTCGGTTGACCAGGAAATGCGTTACAGATTCTAAGTCACCGTCTGCCTCGTTATGCGATATCAGCTGAAGCAAGTTCAAGCTGGGAAAACGCTCGGAGTGACCAAACTAAAACACAGTATCATTGCATGAAGCCCGTGACTATTGGTGTGAGCCATGTGGGGGAGACGTAGACTAGCCGACTAGGGTCCACAAAATAAACGAGATAGGTGGTTGGAGACTCTAGGTGATACATCTCAGAGTCGATGTCAGAGGCGCAGTTGCATTCACACAATATCTTCACCTTAACCAAAACACAGAGTTCGGCATTCTCTCATTCCTCCTTTTGACCTGTTTTTATTTCGTTCATCTTACGAGCTTTTTACTTCTCTTGGTAGATATAACGTGTGGCAACTTCGACCACTACGCAGTAACGTCTGGAGATATGTTGATAGTGATCATGGTGAATAGTTGATGGGTGTAACTTACTGATAAAATATGTATCCTGTCATCGCAAACAGTATGTCTAGACTTGTATATTTTTTGTCAACCAGCTAATTGGTTTAGTACACCGATAATGTTAGTTTCGCACAGGTGAACTTTTTGTTTTATTTTCATCAAGTTACAAAATATAGGCTACATGTTACTGATGACCACTGACAAAAACATTCGATAAAACAAATAGCATTTTAATGTGAAGACTGATCAACCTTCAGTTTATTTAGTACACAAGGATATTCCCTGATAGATAAAAACGTGCATGGCAAAGCAACCTCAATGGGCTTGGAATGTTTTTCCCAGCTTTTATCGACATCTCCACACCCGACTTTCAGTGATTTATTGCCTAACATTTATGTTAAAATTAACTTCTTTCGTGTAAAATAGACTTGTCCACCGTGTTTCACTTGATTGCATTTCTTAGCAGTCACAACCCAGGTGCATTGGAAGGCTGAGCACAAGGATGTATCACAAGCCTGTGCTTGTACTTATGTATTTTACTACATTCTGAAGAAGAAACTTTTATGTTCCTTCAGTTGGAGAGGGAAAATCATTTCAGCATAATCAGCGTTCTCGCTTCAAGACGGTGACTAGACTCAGTCAATTAGCTTAGGTTTTATCGGTTTGTGTTTTGACTCAACGCAACCGCAGCGTAATAAAACTTGTACTGGACATCTCAGTTCAGTGCAATACTAGACGGTAAGACTGTCTGTAATTTACTTGGGGAATGTCCAGTTATAGATTCTCTGTGTATTGTGTAATATTTGAAAATACATACCATGGTTTGTAAGGTTGTGGGAATTCTTGTTTAGAAGTCATTCACGCAGAGGTCGATTTTGTGGAAGCTCATTTAAGATTTCAATGATCAGTCTCTACCATCCAACAAACACATCTTCCGGAACTATGAAGTAACCACTAGATCTAATGCCAACAATTCAGTTCCTGGTTATTTATTTGCCTTCTAGCGTACATCAGCCATCTATCTGTTAGCTCAATCATTTCTAGTGTTAACTGCAGCAAGAACACGAATTGCCCCTTCTGTAACTGCTATATTTTTGCAGCCCACGACAGTTTCTATGTCAATGTCCCATCCTACCGCAAAGGACGCGTAGGTCTTCTGTGTCAACGTTGTCAACAGAGCCTGTTGTAGATCGTCAAGTTGCTCCCTCAAATAGTTTGCCTTCTGCACCACAAACTGCCTAGGGAATTCCGAACATCCACATCCCATACTATTTATATATATTCTCACAAACAGGTCTCACTACACCTCATGAGGTTAAATTTTACTTCTATAACTGTTTAAATAAGCTGATTTTGCGTGTAACTTTCACAGGGTCGGAACTTGGATTAATAAAATGTAGCTCGGTTTGCAAATGAGAACCAGGTCCACTAAAGAGTAGTGGATCCATAACTATGTACTATTCCCTGAAGTAAGTTTATCCGCACTCATAATTGGGTTTCGTATCTAATCATCTATCTGACTCACTGGCCAAAAATACACTCCTATTATTGCTTGTTTACTTTTTGACCAGGTTAGACTGGTTACTCACCGAATTTGAACTTTATCGTTACATGTTTAGTGGAGTTACAGTTTTGTGCTGATAAATATTAACTGACGACTAGTAGTTAAGCAACAGTGAATCCAGTATTATCATGTTAGAATAAAAAGATAATTTTTTAATTCACGACTGATACTTTAATGGAATAGGGCACTTCAAGCTGGTTGGAACGAGACAACAACGACATGTATTTCTCCAAAGGCAATAACGAGATGAAAACGGAAAAGATAGTATTGAGATTCACAGAAAGAATACAATTTGGCCTTATACGTCCCAATGATCTGCGATGCATGCCAAGAAAGTTTGTGGCAATCTTGTCTAGTTTTAAAACTTATCAAGACAGCCCACTCCTGACGACAATAGTGCAACACGCATAGGAGACATATGCTACATGCAGGTATCTTAATTCTTACGCTTTAGTTTGCCCCCACGGAACTTGTGCGTAGCTATAGTTCAAATTAGAAACCTTATTTCTCTAAAATCGAACACCTTTAGTACGAAAATCAGATAATAAATGTTATCCGGAAAGGAAAAAAACTCAGTTGTATAAATGTTGGAAACATATCGTAAGATGTTAGTCATATTTACGTCCCTACAAAATTAATTGATTCATAAAAGACGCCAGCGATGGGTGTGAACATAAAGCGAAGATTTAACTGGTTAATTTCCAGTCTAGCGGAATTAATGATAACCCCTCCTGGATGAATGCCGTTGGCTTTTAGTAACTCTAGAGGTTTATTACTCTTCACGACCTCCATCAGTTCAGAATAGAGTACTTCATAAAATCTATAGTCGTAACGGTGATGCTTAACCGTTAGCGGCTGGAAATGTAAGTTTCCTTCTGAAAATGTGGGAAAATGCTCGGGATACATTGCCAAGAGGCATCTGAACAGTATTTTACAGTATACGTGTCCCAGCACTTTTTCTGCTGCGAACAGTCATAGCGAATCATGTGAATTTAACAAAGTGCAGAACTTCATGGCTTTCTTGACAATTTACTCTTGGACTATCAAAATTAACTGGAAATTAATTCAAAAGACCTATGGTACTGAAAGTATGATTTCTGCCTGTTAGTATCTATCATAATAAGTAAAAAGATACATGAATTTACGAATGGATACGGCGTCACAAGATATTTCTGAACAAATATACACAATAGAAAGATTAAATAAGTGCAGGGACCGTTAAGTGACCATAAAGCGGCACATTGGTTACAATTTCAGGTTTATATTCAACATGGACTGATATCAGTTGAACTTTCGGAATCCAGGGGCGTTGGGCGGCTGTCTCACCCTGGCATTGGGCTCCTGAACAGTGCGCAACCACGACTGCACCAAGGACCTTGAGATATCGCGGTGAGCACGATACCGTCGAGCCCTGGGTCGGAATCCGTTGGTCCCCATTTTCTTATTTCCGTCAAATCACAATGACCCTCATACAATGTCATCATTGAGCACCTGTGCAGCTGATATCAGTCTGTGATGAACACCAACACAAAATCAATGAATCTCCACGAACCTCGAAGTTGATTATAACTGCGCTGAAACTTGATCCTAGTTTGCGTCTGTTACAGACGTATCTTACTGATCTACACACTCGACTTCCAAACAACGGGTTGAGTCTGAACGACGTGCCACCTACCGAGGTTTCGGCAACCCAGTAGCATCATCAAATCTTACACAACATACGTGTGGTTCATTTTTTACTGCACGAATGTAACGGAGTTTTTGAGTGCATTTAGGTTTTTTGATAGGTTATCAAGGTGAAATTCCAGATAAATCACACGCCTAATAGTCTGCTTCGAAAATACGTGTTAGATGAAACCTCGATATTTGAGCACTATAACTGTTACTAAATTTTCATAGTTAAGAATTGATACTATTTTAGTGTCATCTATACCTCAGTTCACACCTGAAATGCAAGATAAGAAAAAGGAAGTTCCATCGATGTCGTTCATAATATCGCAATATACAGACTAAGAAGTATCACATACAATAACGAGGGAAAGAAATTGATATACTGATTAAAGATAGAATCCATCCACTATTTCGCAAAACCGATATTACTGCTTCTCTTAGAAGTGGTGACGAAACTCCTTTGAGACGTTCGCACTCATTCCGCACTTCCTATTTCCAATTAGTCTCGTCATTCATTAGTAGGCTTAGTCGACTGTTGTTTACTATAAATACAATTACATTCTTTGTGCTTGCTGAGTGGATTACAACTGCCAACCTCACATACTCATTTGCTTGCCCACGCTCCTATAATAACGTACCTAGAGGTTAAACAAAAGCTCACCGACAGCTAGCCGTTACAGTAACAGTAGTAGAGGTATATTTCACAACTTAAGGGGTCATTGGTCTACCAGATACAAACTCTAAATTAATCTGAAGAAGTGTATTTACTTAAGAAATACAATTTTAAAGTTAAAGAGTAATAATCAAAATAACAAGTAGGATAATACTGTCGCAGTAGAAAAACGAGAAGAAATCAATTTGGGGACGATGGAAGCAGATCGTTGACAAAATCCATATTGTCATCTTAATAATTAAAAAAAAAACACAGTGTTATTCAATCAGTAGAAAATAAACAGATCATTCTGAGTTGAAGACCAATAAGTACTCCTTAATCTTTTTTAAACTTGGGGAATAAGAAAGAAAAATCATAAGACTGTCTTGTTATTGGGAGTTAGTGGTTTGAATTCAATTCCATGACAAGTAATGTTACATAACTCGTACAGCAATGAAACCTAGTTTCCTAATTATATGTTTTGAAATAAAATCGACTAGGAAACGTTTAGTCAAAGGGTACAGTCCATGCGATCTACTGTAGATTCCAGATAACCATCAAACAAAACTAAAAGGGGTAATACACTTTCTGTTACTTAATGCAGATGTGCATATTATAAGTACGCTAAATACTGCTATACAATAATAACATAAAGAAATACAAATTAAAATTAGTGGTAAGTGTGCAATCTACTGCAAAGAATGAAACGGTCAAAGTGTTCAACTTTTAGCTACTGAGATACAAACGAAAATAGTCAACAAATAAACAGTGAAATTATTATTTTCTTCATAAATTTGCTCATGAGGCTATGAAGTCTTGCTTTATTAACAAAACTTATATCTTTTAGCTGTTTGTGATCAAAATTATCATTGTTGCACGTGTTCCACCTTATTTCTTTGACGTGTTACTGATCACTTAAAAACAAGACCAGAATACCATTCGTCGATTGAATCCTACCATAAGGGTTGAATGAGACAAAACTTTTCACAGAATGACAAGTACCTAACATTTAAAACATAACACACCTCAATTTCCTATGGTCGACTTGCCTGAATGGTTCAATAAGAGCTTCAGTTGACTTTTTGATCCATCACACAAATGTGAAGTAAAGAAAACGATGTACAAAAGATTATGATTCACAGTACTACACTCTTAAGCAGAGTGCATCAAGCCAATAACTCGAAGATTGATGATTAGAACTTGTAAGCCTGTGGTACTTGGACATAAACCAAAACTAATGTATGAGTGTAGGTTATAGCATCTAACTGCTAAAACTACTTGCAGTAATGAGTCTATTTGCAGATACGATATGATATTTATTGAAATCATAAACAAGTAAACTATTATTTTCTTCAAAAAAACATCCTGCTTACCCATAAGATTGAATTCACTGCTTGTCTGACTGAAAAACAATGACTTTTCTGATTCTTTGCAAACGGACACTTATAATTTATACAAAAAAAGAAAAATCCCGATCAGAATACAATCACATAAATTGATACGCATACCTCATAGTAAACAAGAAAAAAGTAGTTGGCATACAAAACGGTGTGCAGTTCCAAATTCTTTGATTCGTCAAGCACCAACATCTAAAATATAAAACCCCATGCATTTCTTACTTCATAATGATCAGCATTCTTGCAGAAACATGTGAAGCAATCGGGATCAACGGTTGTTCAGTATCGAGCTTTGCGATAGCTACCCTCTTAGGTCCAGAAAGACGCTAGTAATTGCAGGAAACACTCGAAAACATTGAGTGTACGCTGATTTTTCCTGCTAGTTTCCTTGAACAGGTCCAATAAACTTCCTGATAATTCTCCGTAAAACTTCCGAGGCGCCTTCTTTGTATGGCGGCAGTGCAGAAGTCTTGGATTCTTTATCCCTCCTGTCACCAGCATTACTATAACCTATTACTAATACCACCGCTATTCATATATTCCTAACGATTTCTTAACAATTATTAACGATTTCTTTTATTCAAAAACCAAGGGGAGGTAGCCATTCAGGAGTAAAACATTCTTAAAGCGCAAAATTTCTTGTCTCAATGTCTCAACTAGTAAGCCATCTTACCTGCTGTTATCTAGACAATTAAATAAGCCAACTTAAATGAAGATGGGATGAGATAACTCAAGTCTAAGAAGTGATTCCAGCGAGGTTTTTTTATACACATGGGACCCGATAGTTCATTCCCGTTCTTTTTTATTCCTACAATCTAACATTGCTAACAGCCCTTCATCATATTCTCATTGACTGGTAAGTTCGACTGCGTTTAATAGTAAAAATGGGTACTAAGAACCGGTTAAAATACTTCTGTTTCAGCACACTCCAATCCACACACATGAACCATGTTCTTACCGTAGGAGCTAGTGTTTCAAGACCTATAAGTCCTTGAATAACATAAATCTATCAGACTTGATAGCGACTAGAAACCGCACGACAATGCCAACAGCCTGCTTCACAATTAGGCTCAGAGAACAAATAAACTTAGAAAACGCAGTATTATCACATTACAATGAAATGAATAAAATAAAAAACAGCTTCCTAGAGCTCAGCATGTATTTACACACAAGAATAGGGAGACAATACCAAAAACAACTTAGTTGCGTGGAGGCAGAGGTTGATAACCGAATATTTTTGTCCAATCAAAACCAAATACATGCAACAGGAATGATTCTGCATATGTTCCAGATATATGGGAAATTCTACTAACCATATTAAAATTAGGACTGCATAAACCATAATCTCAAAGTTGTCATGTTAACTAGTATGAATATGGACAGTAAACTACGTCCGAAACGTTATTCACTGTGACACCTGATAAACAGACCTAAACGAAACTATATTCTAACGCATTGCCAACGTTCTACTCCTACATTAACTTTGATCAAGTTAAATCTCATTAGAAAATCCATAACGTCGGCAACGGAAGACCGCAGGATAGGCAGAAATCTGGCATTTTAGAGGCCAACAGCTTCTACACCCCATCTCCTGCAAGCAAGGAAGTATCAGTATCCTCATTTTTATCCATGAGAAACCTCTTAATGCAACATCACTTCGTCCAACTGACATAACAACTTTGCCATAGGACCGCCCCCACCACAACGAAGCAAGTAATTTGTACTATAAAAGTAACTGCCTTTTCATGACCACTATCCAACAGACCTTTCTAGTAGAGTAGTACAGAACAAGTGTTATACCAGCATAGTTCGTCGCGGTCATTGTAATATGAAAGGTCGACAAATAAGTCAAGATAGAAACTATCGGTCGACAATTGAACAATCCACCATTAAACAAAAGAGTGCACTACACATCAAATTCTGGCAAATTGGATACATCTGTAAAACGTGAGTGTGTGGAAATTGATATGCGTGAAGTTACAGTTGTGACACACCTTCATGAGAATCCTCAAAAAATGTCATTTGGTTTTGATGCAGTGACTGAATTAGTCCTTTTGACAATATTCTTTGAGGACGAATATGTACTACGATGCCGTGAAGACACTAAAATATTCCTCTGTTATGAAACTATTGTTCATCGAGATGTAGAATTATGTGAAGTATGACGTTCAAATTTCAGTCACAGACTACATTCAATACGGTAGAGACAATCTTATTTTCATTCATTTATTCTTTACTTATATTAGTATTTGAGATTTATTATGTTGTCAACCTTATTACAAACAAATACCAGTTTACCATTTATCAGCTAAAAGGTAGTAAGTCAGTCATCATAGTTGACACTGAATGCGACGACTCTGTCTAGGAAGTGGCATGATAATTAAATATCTACTTGACAGACAGAAACTAGTGCATGTTTATGGACTACACAATGAAGTACGCCTATAATATGATGGTTAGTGATACTGCCTGGTCACCTAGAGTATGGTAAGCTGAGTGGGATTACAACCTATGGCCCACTATGTGAGAGTCGATTGCCTAAATCAAGAAGCAGCCTCAGTCCCACTCAATTGACAGATGCTAAGAAGATACACATACAAACACACTGTTTCGCATTGTCATACTCTTCAACACCATGAGAAGGGAAGAAACAGATCTAAAGTACCAAGCTAGTTGATATTTCTGGTCAATTCAGAGAGCTGATACATCTACATTCCTGTGATCAATTCTCAGCGACTTCATCTTAAGATAGCATCAAACGGATTCGTAGGATTTCACTCCTTTCAGTCAAGTACCCTACAGAACTGAAACCAAAACACCGTGGGTCACGTACAAGTAACATGCCTCGATCTCGTTATTCTAATTTCTTAATTGATCTAATATGCTAGCAGTCATTACTGACCCCAAATAAAACACAGTGATCAGTATCTGGTAAAATGGAGCAATTACACTAGGTGCACTGCTTATGCAAAGAAAAGATTCAGAATTGAATTCACCAGTTGTGCACAGAGTGGTTAACCCAACCTGTGAATCGTTAGACGTGACATCGTAGGAAATTTCGAAAGGTAACTCGAGTAGTACTGCATGAGTGGGATGAAACTACTAGTTGATCAAGAGATATAATGATGCTTCAAATGGTGTTGGAGATGGTTTTAAGTAAGCGTCGGGTCAATATTATGGCAAAGAGTCGAATGAAGGACGTAGAGGGGATTGTCCTCAGAAGTGTGTTGACTGACTACCTAACCCGCTAATTTTTCAACGGTTATATATATATACTGCTGTTGTGTGTATTGGTTGCATTCAGACTTTTGTAGATAACAAAGAGTAGTATCCGGAGGAGATAAACAGCTATCTAGTTACACTGGTTTCTTGTTGAACTGTTACAAGTGTCGTTTCGGGAAGACTATCTTCAAGTCGACCAAGTACCCAAAAAGCTAATTAATCACCATTACCAAAAGTCAAACTTCTGTATTGTTGTTTAATACAATGAACAACCGCACTTGATAACAATTATCAATACTACAAGAAATGAGAAAGACAGCAAGTCAATAAATAACAAGAAACAGGATAAGGAGTGAATAGTCACGAACTCACAGAAATAACGTCTTCTCTATATTTCCTATAGTAAAGGCCTTCCGGATAGGTCAGATACACACTAGAACACTCCTGATTAATTATTGTGTTTTCAACTCACCGTTTCTGTAGGTCGTCATTTTCACAAGTGTCAGGATGAAGTACGAGTCTTTATGACCTAGTATGTTCAATATTCATTGAATTGTAACTACTCTCCTATAAAATGGAATTTTTTTCTAAAGGATAAATGCGAAGATCGACAATCATGAAGAAACCAAAGGGAATATCCGCCATAAACTTCTACGTGCCACGAAACCCTTATACTAACTGGCACCTGAAGGTTAATTTCACTTCTGTTGGGTGGAAGTTTATAAGAAACATTGTCTCAAGGTTTTTAAGTGACTAGATATCCTGTAGTGCTCCCCAATCAAGCCCACGCAACCACTCGAGGGTTTTCGCAGGAGTTTCACATGCGAAAACAATGACATTCATAAAAAATATCCACCTTTACAACTTATGTCCAACTAATGAAAATAGATGTGAATCAGTAAGTGTTTTCGAATCTAGAGTTTCTCTAACAACTTAACCGTATTTGTGAGATCTGGTCTTATCCAATAAAAACGATGGCAAGATATGGAGTCTTTGTCAAGCTTTGAGCAGAAATCAAGGGATGTTAGGCATGCACTCTACATATGCGTTATATGATGCTCTAGAACTGGTATTTGGTGATACCTGATTTAACGATAGCCAGTGAAGCAGTTGAGTATGCTGATAACTTCACTTTTCCGGAGTTATACCAATCCTTATAAACTAACAACCAGAGAAATCTTGATACGGATACGATTTGTTTGTATATCATAAATTAATGCCATTTATGTTGCATGTAAGATTTCCCAATACGTATTATACAAAAAATATATACCAGGCAAAAGTTTCTTTAGTCTCATATCACAATTGTGTTACAACACAACACAATCGTTTCACGAAAGTGCTATGAGCAACTTATGAACATTTAACTTAAGGTACTTCTGGAGAAAGTTTTTTTTCATATTTCAATACATACAGCTTTAAGTGACTATTGATTTGACTTATTCCCCCCTTTCAATCTGAGTTATACAGGTTGCACCAAATAAAACGTTTAGAGTGGATGGTTATCACGCAATGGCATTTGAAAGCCGTAACAACACTTAATATAACTACAGTGTAGTCAGTACAAACAAGCCGATACTAGTTTGAGCTTCAGATGATTTTCTAGTATCAATTTGAAAGTGTGATACACTTTCTTCTATATCCCGACGACAAAGAATCTACAAAGTTAATTACAATTAGGAGTTACTTAGAAACATAATTAAAAAGCACACAAAATAAATTACACAGAAACTTCACTTCAGTTTCATGATAAGTACACATAACACATTCTCTTGCAGTAAAAAAAACACCACAGAAACATACTTCCCCCAAATGAAGGATGATTGATACAGTTATTCTGCAAAACTTCAATCGATGATGATCCCGTTGACAAAACCTTATTTGTTTTATCTGTAGTAGCCTTCGCAGACTCATCGCAGAACGTATAATTCTTATCATGTGCATTAAGTGTTTGCTGAGACAAACACGACTGACCAGTGCTTAAGCTATTCGAAATATCTGAAAAGTCCAATCCCTTGTGCGATTCACTGAGCCATTCAGGTTTTCTATAACAAAGCAAGATGTAAAGGACAGACTTATAAGTAATAAGTAGTCAGTCTCAATATTTTTTTAAAATTAGTTTGTTGAAAAAGTTTTGAATATAATATCCTTTATCAGCATAACTATGTTAGTATGCTAGAAACAGAAACTGTAGTTCTTAAGTCCTAAGACGCATGTTCCACACGTTTCACCGATTCATAATATGATTAATATTTATCAATATCAGATGCATCCATACGAAACTCTAATAAATAAGAAGGAAGACAGGGACTTTCGCAATCAGAGCGCATTTTTTTTATGCAATCTACATCAACGAAGGCATCAATTAGCTAACCCGAATAGTTAATGATTTTGATAGGTGAGTTTACCTGAAAAATCCCAATCGGTTATCTGACTGGAAAATGTAGGACCACTTCCAGTTATTTTATTCAAAAATAAGCAAACTAGATAACCAACAAGAAGGACGCGAAATTCAGGGTGATAAAATGACAAAAATGTGCAAAATAAACAAATGCACACACAGATACATACAGCAACCTAAAATTTAATAAATCCAATGAAACTGGAACAAACTTTCAGACACATCACAACGACAGCTTTGCAATACCAATTTGTGCTAACTCAGAGTCAACAAAAGTCAAACAGCTTGAGGTGGTCAATAATACTAACCTATAAGGTTGTTGCCATGTTTGTCGCATAAAAAATATTAAACTTCTGGGAAACAGAACTTATATGAAGAAAATAACTGGGGACGTACAGAGTCACCACTAATTCATCAATGGAACGATGCATCTCTTCCATAAGCCAACAAAGTTCCCCATTAGTTTCCCTCAGAGAAATTGGATATGCACAAGATGGTTGTGAATTCGTTTCTGATGAACTAGCAGTCTGTTGGAGACACTCATTTAAACTAGATGACTGAGAGTGTAGATGATCAACAGCTTGTCGGAACAAACTAAGACAATCCGCTGAATCGTTTGCATTCGATGATTTATACTGCGATGTCATCGTTTTTTGGGTAATATCATCAATAAAAGGAGAATTGTAAGATTTTGATGCCATTTGGAAAAGCGTAGCTGAATGACGCAGAAACCTAAAGCAAAAATGATAAGAACATAAATGAATACATATCAAGACTCACATATAACCCACGCATGAAATCTGATTGCTTCAGGGTATTGCAATAAGACAAGTAAAGCAGTTGAAAAATCAAATAATAAATTCAGAATAGCTGTGGATTATCACTCTAGGCATTCAACTTAAAACTAAAAAGGGTAACAGGCTTAAGTCTCGCTCTACCAATTCAAGTCTAAGTAGACAACGATGAGCTTTAGTACACTTTTAGTCCTCACTCTGACGTTCAGTCGAACAGGTCACAAACGACTGTCAACTGGGATACAGTCGAGGAGGGAACTTTCTGCCTCAGTACTTAATGCTGTACCTACACTTGTAAGACTAAGTGAACTTATCATCTAACACCGGAAACTCGAAGAATGAAGTTTGCTGACTCACCATACTGACTGGATGCAGTTTACTGAATTACCCCACTTCGAACCCCAATATGTGCTATTTTTCAGGCCGAACTTCCCTACCGTATCCCTATACGAAAAACGCCTTATTACAGTCATACTCCTTTTATATCAGCAGTAAGAATTCGCCCTCGGACCCCTATCATAAAGTAGTAACATGATAACATTTGTTTTTTGTCTTATCAATGTCTGACTGACCTTTTTGGTTTAATACGACCTCGGGAGAAAAAGCGTTTCACAAGCATGTCGGGTTACTATTATATGCAAGCATGACCACCGCATCAAGGTAGCAGCTATCGGTCAGGGAGATGGATATATTATAATACGGTAAAAAGCAACTAAGCATAACAGTCAACTCATAAATTAATATCGTTGGTCATAATAAACTTACGAGGAAAAGTCCAATTCGTCATCAGTTCGTTCTGGTTCTTGCTATATACATGTAGAAAAAATACTATTAATAGATGGTAACTACGTGACATACTTACTATAAGTAGTACTTAAGCAAAATATTGAAACTATGAGCAACTTATGGTTATTCTCGAAGTTGCAAATAATTAGAGTGAGATTTTTCATGATTATTATCACTATTATGCTGGATATCTAGACTTCTTTCGATAAAAAATGAAAGTAGTCTTTTTGAGTACCTGTTATATCTCTTAGGTCCACTTAACAGAATGGATGATTTTCTACAATTCACAATCGAGGATGAACAAGATAGTGAATTTCATTTTTTATTCGCAGGATTTGAATGAAATGGACGCTCAATTATATTTGCTTTGTTGAGCAGACCTCATTTAAATTTCAATGATTTGTGTTCAGTGAAATGCAAAAGAGACTACTGAGAAGTGTAAAGGAGAAATTTTGCTAGGTGAACTTCCAGTCATTGAAAAATGGTCACATGACAACCGAAATCTAAAGATATTTGGCGATAAGTAAAGGCATAAAGAAACAGCCTCATATTAGTAAACACGATAAAGTTGGCAAGAAGCCTGTTTCTCCAAAGTTTGGCTTTTTTTGAAGACGATGAAACTTTTTAATGAATTCTATGTAAAACTAGTACTACACTTAAGCTAATACACTAAGTTTACTTTATCGAGATAATCATTTACAATAATAATTGGAAGTTGACAAACTCCCTTCAACTTCAATCACAGCTATGAACTCAAATTTGCCCACCAACATATGTACAGTTGAAGGACAGAGGAAAGAGTCTATATCAAAATGTGACTGAGCATGCTCCTAATAAACTGCCATTAAAATGTTCATAAGTCGTGAACACCACTTCGGTCCTCTACCTTCTTGAAAATGAATTTGAAATGATCAACAAACAGCAGAACTCCAGCTTGTTACATTGTCATAAAACAGTGGCTACTAAACGGTTCAAACTTAATAATTGTATTCAGACGACAACTTTTGCTACTCTCTCCTTACTATAATAATTATTGTTATGTATTATTATTACTTCATCCCTCTATAATGAATGTTTTACTCCACATATCTTCGTTTATTTGTTTGATTATTATCCCTCTGATCTTCATCCTTATTTTAAATTCACTAACCTTTTGAAATACCCAGACATATTAAATGAATTTAATCTCCGTTATTTAGAAAACTGTTCGTATGTTATCACTCCTGTTTCGTTACCAATAGTCTGGACAATTTTATTAATTCATCTATCGGTAATGATTACTTTATAATAATGTTGACATCCTTTAATCAAAGTGTACAGTGTATTTTCATACATATATTCATACTGAAATTGTTTCAGATGTTGAGTAGTTGAAAAAATTCTAAATTCCAAGTGCATTCATATTATTATTACTGCTTTTCTTATAAATAAAACTGTTCCATAAATACATGCATAGAAACCTGACAACAACCTTCTATTGACAAATTGCTACTGATAACCCATACTGGCAGTCATTACTAAAATAAATGAGAAATAATTACGATACATTAACACTAGGTACGCCTAATGAATACTTAAATGAGACATTGATTGGATACTTTTCTATTCTGCATATCACATTCATCATCATTATCGACACTACCAATATATGACCAAGTATTACAACATAACAGTTCAGGTTGCCATACCTCATATCAACGCATCAAAAGAAGAAAGCACTATAAGAATCTAATTTTACATAAGAGGAAGCTTTAAACTTGTATCGCATTTTGCTAGAGAACATTACAAAAGCTGAAGAAGCAGTTTCCACGAAGTTACGAAACGTCAAAAATCTTTTTTTTATATCTCATTAGGACTTCACAAACATATTTCAATTACAAAACTGGTAATAGGAATCTCTCATAAGGTGAGCTTAACAGACACGGTATAACTGAAATACAGGAAGCTCCTTCAGTAAAGCTTGAAATGCTTTAAATAACCTCACAGTTAAACAAAAGTTCGTTAATATCAGAATTATCACACAGGAAGTCATAATAAATGTACATTCTTGTGACAAATTGGCTGATAGTAGGCGGCTACAATAATGTAGCAGTACTATTCTCTGAAGAAACAAAAGTACACCATAGATGATGGTGTCTTTTATGAAATAGAAGTGATGCTTACTTGAACTTCAAACCCATATAACAGATTATCACGAAAATGATCATTAGCTGAAAATGTCTTCCACTATAGTGACAGCTACTTACGAGAATGGATATAAGTAGTATATACAGAAACGCCAAAGTCGGTAACGATCGACTGGTGAGGAATCAGACAGAAAACATAAATAATATTGGACACAAACAGAGGGTGAAACAATGCGGACTGAGATGAAGAAAAAATTGTTTCCAATGGATAACATATTGTTAGGTTTAGTATTTTTACCATCATCAATTGTATCCTCCCAAAAAACTATGTCAACTGCATCACTGGGTTTCTTTTCGAAACCACCATCTCAAAATAACCATAAGTCGGTGGGGAACATAACACTGGGAAGAAATAAAGTCGTATGTCACTAGCTGCAAGTCTAGAGAAACAACACAAATTATGTCATAGATTAGAAACGAGTAAGATGCAGTGAAGTTTTGATTTATGAGCAAAATTGTCGTTCAAGTAATTGTTGAGTAGATTAGAGTGTATTCAATGAAACACTGTAGATACGCTATATATCAATGAGACTTCAGTATGCTCTTCACTAATGCACAAGTCAAAGACGTACAAACTTTATCGCACTGAAGTCATCCTTTACGTCTTTTTGAAGTCTGACGCAACATTTTAGTCACTCGATCACGCGTGCGATACGCACAAGCTGTAAATCAGGAAGTTGCTCCATTGACTTTGGCCCTAACAATAGAAGTTTCGTATGGTCATATACAACACGTGTGTTATAATTCAGTAGGCATCTTTTATAAGTAGCATGAATAAGTAAAACAAAGAAAGTGAAATAAAAGCAGTAGAAAACTGTGTTGGTTATAGCACAATAAATTTACAAGCAAGCATTCAAAACTTAAGTGCAGTGTGTAAAAATATGGAATGATAACGTTTAATATAGCCATCAAGCAGTGCCGGTTACGTTACAGAGCACATTGACATATTCTATTCAAAGCACCTAAATGGAGCACGAATCAACAAAGAAAAATGGTCGAGAGCCTTATTTTGCTTTCCTCTAAATGGTGTCTTTTTCCTCCGAAAAACTGTACAACTGTATATTTACCCTTTGAAACCTTGACCATAAATTACGTATTCATGGCATACTTATGCAGATACCAAACGATCAAACAAAACCAAAGACTCAACAAACTCTCCTACACTATATACTATACTAGTTTGAACTGAGTGAATGTCAAGCTTTCGTACGTTTGTTAGCTGTTGACTATTGTTCCATTTATTAGATTTCTTACTTTCCGCACAATTATTGACTTTCCACTTTATAAATCTCATAAGTGTTCTCACTCAGTATTTATGTGATTAGAAATTTTATCAAAATAAGCATTGCAATTTTAGGGTGTAATGCAGCTGATGAAAATTCGTGAAATAAAATGATCTTACTGTATCCTAAGAATATAGTTCTCTCCGTCCAAAAATCTATACATTTACACGCACAATTCCAAAGAGTGGATTAATTTCAAACAAACCTTGTTATTACTAGAGGTCTTATCATTTTCTGACAAAGGCAATGTGTTTTTACTACGAAGAAATTTCATGTTGAAACCGTTTAGAGTAGTTGGCTGTTCGTCCAAATTGTTGAGAATATCATCTAATAGAAGTAAAGAAGGCTTATACTTGTTTAGATAGTCTCCAAGTTGCTGCCTCAGAGCTGCTACCTTAAAATAAAATAAAACATGAAAATGTTAGGTATATATCAGTTACTAACACCAACAAAAAATAGTGAATTATATTTCCAATTTAGATTAACGTAACGAAATGATGAAGTAGGTTTGTTTACTGCTCACTTTTAACAGGACCGTTGTCTCAGTGAAGTATAAGATAACTTTGAAATCCCCGGGATCCGTAGGCAAATCGCTTGGAAAACAGATGAGTTAAAGTCTATCAATGATAATCTAACAAGTGAAAAAACGATTTCAAAAATTGCTGATTTTTATTCTCGTGTGCTTCGTTGACAAAAACCATTTGTTTTTAGCACAACTTAATTTTAGAACCGTAGTTCAAATAATGCTCTACAAAACCACTAGAAATATGTTCAACTTTCATTCAGCAATAGATGATGTAGTAATGAGATGGTTCCATCGGACCTCAACTAATAAGACTCTCTAAATAATCAACTTTATGACTGGCAATGAGACACTGATAGTACGCGTATTAACTAAGATGAGAATTTAAACTAGGTTAATTTTACAGACTTTCAACAAGTGATTTAAAAAGCTGAATTAAACGCAGTGTTCATTCTTTGGAGTCATACTCAAAAAGGCTACTGAAATAGTTTTCGAAATCCAATAGCCTTAAGCTGGAAGAAACTTCGGTGTCGAATACTTTCTCCAGAATTTCACTCAATGAGAAGAATCATGACGTCATACAACATCTATGAAGTAGTCGAGGAACCTTCAGAAAGAATTATTATGCATCTAGATTTCTCGGCTAAGCTATGAAGATGGTGAAATTTATGAAAGACTTCTATCCAATTCACAGAAATGCTAGTTCAGCACTCTTATATTCAGGGATGAAACTTTCTCAAACGTCTTCCAGCAATTCGTGTTCAAAACCAGGAGTTGATTATTTGGCAAAGTTATTCTGTAGATGATCTTTTTTTTCATTCAACTACTCCATTGAGGTCAATTCTAATCGTGTTATCTAATACTAACTGTTAACCAGAGAATCACATCACATACAAGAAACCTAATAACCCAAAAATAAGGTTATACAAAAATAATTAAGAAACGATACTTATGAAGATTGGAAAACAAAATTCCATGTGTAAATACTAAAACAGACAATACGAAAGTTGTTATACCCACTTTTCGCGAATTTACTAATCCGATCCTTTGGCTGAAGGATCATCCAATGAAATTTTATTAAGATACATGGTGAGTTTGCTACACTTTCCCGCACATTTACTAATATTCCATAGGTATTAACATCATCCCATGACACTGACTCCAACGAAAACATCAAATTGGGAAAAATAGAATTTCGGGTGTGGTGAATAATATAATGCGATAAACAAATAAGTGGAGTTTCGTGCATCAGACAATTAGTCAGGCTTTGTGAAACGACTAGTGATACTACCTAGGTGCCCGACGGCAGTAGGGGGCAGGTCTCGAACAATGAACCCCTTAGTGAAATAAAGTGGTTAAGTGAATGGATCACCAGTAAATATCATTATACTACTTACAGTGGTAGTAGTATTGAGGTTATTATCATTGTTACCGTTATTATCACTACCAATACCGCTATTATTATTATTATTATTACCACTATTATTATTGCGATATTAAATTGATAAGGACCTCCAAAAATGCTATTTAGAACTGGAAGCGAATTCTGTCTTTAAAAAGTACTGCAGACAAAGTAAGTGAACAAAATGAAATTTTAACAAACCAGAAATGTGAGCATAAAAGATAACGAAATGAAAGTGGACAATACGCCCGAAATATCGAGAATGACATAGCATGCATTTGTGCCACCATGAACGATTGTTCTTCATATCATCAAGAGTCCTCAACTATTGATTCTTAACACGTCAGTCAGTTAACACAGAACAAATGAAACTAGTTAGTGGAGTTGCAAGAAGTATGTGCTGCGCTGACTATTACGGCTACGTATAGAACTCAGAAAACCACGACTGTGTTCAGAGTTAGTTGTTCTCTGAGCTAGAGTTTCAGTCGGCAAACATTCCAAAGTCATGTCAAACGTCATCAAAGTTTCACAACTAAAACTCTAGATCAGGGAACAATTCACCCTGAACATTTACACAATCAGCTAAAAATATTCGACACAACCACAACCGGTTCAAATAGTTTGGCAATTATTGAGTCACTTTATCCTTCAAAGTTCCTTTGGATTTTCCATATGAAATCCTACAATTAAACGATATCCATATGACACCCTTGTTACTACAAAAATTTAGTACCTCAGCTAGCAAAATTCAGCTTTATTAATTATACTACTTAAAATAGTTCATAACCTTGAAGGTCTGTCTCTGGGTACTGTTCGTGGGGCGGCATGCTGCATTACCTGAGGTAAATCTGGATGTGGATACTGGACGTTTGACAGCATTCAGTTTTGTCGAGTTCTGGCCGCCAGTCTGAATCAAGGTAGTATCTTAACAAACATTAGTTAATCGCTGATATTCCTCACCAATATCTTTCAGTATCAGCTTCGGATCCTGTTACGGACGTTTCAGCAAGGGAGTGCGTATATCTGCGAATTCGGAAGACTGAATGGCACATATAAGTGTGAGTACTTTGAATTGTTCGTCTGTTAACGACTTCAACTTGAATCGTTCACATGCTCTATTCACAATCTCGAGCTGGATATGGATATTATCAGCTTCACTGAGTACCAATTCATTCAATGGTAGCGGGCGTTGAAGAGTGAGAGATATTCTCCACACTGCTGACGTAATATTCCCATCATTTCATCAAGTGTTCTGTCACGTGGGTCTTGTGGAAAGATAAGATTACAATACTTATCCAATTCATCTGGACCAAGCTGTCAGAGTAGAAGTCTAACTTTCATGCGTCGTATTGACTTGCGAAATCAACTCTGAAGAGTTCTTCGTATCGTGGGAACCATGTATCAAAGGTGACGTTGGCATCTGGATTGTATACAAACTCCAAAATATTGGAACCAATTGTATAGTCCAAAAAAGATGGAGTGGATGTAAACGGAATGGCGTGCAGACCAGCAAGTAGTTACATCATCTTCAATTCCTCCTCCATCAATTTTTCTAGTCGATGTATGTCCATTTTCAACACCCCGTCGCCAACTGTTATATATTCCGAATGGATATGATGCCCACGCTTGACTGACCCCTAACTTCATACGCAAGAGCCACCGACTGCAACCCAAGACGAATACTGAAGCCAGATCGGAGAGTTCATTCCTCCGAGAATAATAATCGATTAATTTAAAAAAAAGTGAGTATGAATACACAGGAAATACGACCACATGCACAAGTTGAGACACTGACAAATAGTAAGGACTAACCAATCAGTGAACTATACGGAAAACGGGGGCAAAAAATGAGCTACTAGTCATGGTGCAAAAACGACAAGTAAAAATGTTCAGATCGACAACAATGTTAAATCTTATGCATTCAAACAAAAAGGCACTCCTCGACTGGATGACAGTCAACCGCCGTCCGTGTCCTGTTCGACTCAATCGATCTGTAAGAACCAGGAAGGACTATAAAACTAGACGATGCCTATTCGTAATCTCCACCTACCCGCCCAACGACTGCAGTTCGGATCATGCAAAGGATGAATTCTACTCAAAAGTTGTCAATTTCGCTACATAAAGCAAAACGTCTAGAAAGCGACTTTAACACTCAACTACGGAAGCTGAACCAATCGGAGAGAGGGTTCTTCAAAGTATTTACCGAATCCCATGCCAACAGTGATCGTCTCTAGCAATTATGCTCTGACAATAACTTGTTTCTGACCAGCACTAACTCTAGGCATAATGACAGACACTGTCTCAATTGGTGTCCGCCGACATCAAACCAACGATGGACACACATACATTAAACTTCTATAAGCCATCGATGGAGGATAGCCACTCTTTCTGCAATACCAGTTCGCGCTCCGAACATGTATTAGTACGGGTTCGTGTATGCCTACATCCTACTGGTCAAGGAAACCAGGAGACAGTTGAGCCAGCGCGTGCACGATCGCGAGATGACAACGACAGGTACGCCTTTAAGGGAAGAGGTACACGAGCATCTATTTGGAGGTGGTATCATTCATCGTCTTGGAGTGACATATTCACTCTTTCACATCTAAAATTCGAATATTCCCACCAACCGCTATCTTAAGAGTGTTTGTTCTCTCACACAGCTTTGACATCACTCTTTTTCTATCCACATATACTTCATATACTACTGTGAAGTGTGGCAACATGAGCCAATCCACTTGTGTGTGAGGTTCTACGTTGATCTTTTTGTCTGTCTGTCATCTAAGAGGTCGATTCAAACGGTTTCTGAAATTAAGTGACTCTACCAAGGAGTTTGGCACGGTGGAAACTGTTGGTAGATGTGAATTGTGATTGTTCAATGCACACTCGATACATGTAATAAAGGTGAAGCACGAAAGGAGGGTCGTAATGAAGGTGAAAATAGAAAGAAGAAAGAGAAAATGTGGAAGTGTTAAGGTCTTGAGAAGATGAGAGATTTAGCATACTTCTTCAAGCAGAGATCAGTCTTCAGTTGAAGAATCACCAATGCATCTGCCGTGGACAAGTTTCGAGAGTGAACTCCTTTTCAACTGTCAGATGCTTCATGTACTGATTCTGTTTTATTCTGATCACCTCTTATCGTTTTCCGGTCTAAACCCACGCTAACCAATATTGTATGACACCGCAGATGGTGACTAGGTAATCATGGTATATGCGCAAATTATTTGAGTATGTGAAAGTGTTCAGCGTCGTCAAGGAAATTACTTCTTTTGATTTTTACATTATTGACCTGGTTGTTTCACGACACACGTCCAAAACTGAGAAGGCAACGGTGGTCGAACACTTGTGCCCTTCTCTCGCCTTGCATTTCTGATATCTATGAGGTGCCTTCATGAAGTATTGGGAGACAACAGATTGCTGTACAGTACACCAGACCGTTTAGTAAGCAATTCGACACTAAACAATTAGTCCCTTTTATAAATTTGAAGACGCAGATTACCTGAAAAATCTTATGTATTTGTGCGATGCACATGTATGTGGACATATACATAAAGAGGACTGATCAAAATATGCACTTGAGAGTGGAGAAAAATGTACCAGAATGGCCACAAAAGCACCTTGATTCAAATCACACCGATAAGCACGTGGCAGACAAGCATCATCGTCCATCTCAAAACATATTATTGATAAAGATCACAGGATTGATATTAAAACGGCCTTTACAATTTTGTATAGAAACTGTCAGGGGCGTTAATGTGACCGAGTTGAAGTGACTGACTGGATAATGATAAATACGCGAGACGATAATAACGCCTGCTCTCCCTTAGAACTGATACTCCATTGAGCCGATAAAATCAGAAGACAAAGACCGACCTGTGGCAGTAAGGAAGACAATTTTATTTGACAAAAAAAATAACGTACAGTTTTGCTCAAAAAATGAAGCCACTAAGTCACAAGTTAGATATTTATTTTCATTGGTCAGCTGACGGATGAAATTGTTCAATAAGGTGTTTACGCCCATACAGTAGTGACAGACACCAAGGTTTCAACCGGAAACTTCTACTTTGGCGACTGATGACCTTGAATGCTGGTTTAGATTCGGGCTGCTTTCTATCAGGCGAATAATCAGGTTTAGGTTAGTTGAACTGTTAGCCATACACAAATTTAAGCCCCCGATGTGTGGTCAAAAAGTTTGTCCTTAACGCTAAACATACCCTGGTATTCCTCACCTTATCTGATTATCAAGGTTATCTTCAAATCCAGTCATTGTCATTTTTATCTTACTACTATCACAGATTCCTTAATGTCATATTTGTCCTTACCCCACTTCCAGTTTTCATATAAAATGCCTACAAGTAAATCTTTGATCAGAACGTTCAAAATGTATAGTGCAAACACACACTTCTCAGATAAACTATTTCTTCTAATTACGTTACCTAAGTTCGATATTACGCAGGCACCATAGATGACGTAAAGATAATAATTAATGATTAGGAATGCATCGGTAGACATTATTTAGGTTGACAGAACCAATCCAAAATATGATGGGTTCAAAATAAGTTGAAAGTGCACGCGAAACAACACACTAAGGTGGCATAGAAAGAAACGATAGTTGAGAATGAGGGATAATGGATAAGTGAGCCAAGAATAATATGGTGTGCATTATCTATATTTATTGTGACTGACTTTATGCTTTCCTGCCGATATCCAAACAATAATTTCCTGTATTATCTAGACTACAGCCAGCAACTATATGACTGTAAAAGAATAACAGTCTGTTAACTCACTGTTTGACCCTACATTCTTGGCTAACCAGACTTTTTTTTATCCTAGTACAGTTATCAAGGCACACTTGAACAATGAAAATGACCACTTCTAAAAGTCCATGTCAAATATGTTTCACATCAAAAGTACAAAGAAGTGATTTTAGATACAGGTATATAAAAGATTACTTTTCTCTCCATTTGAATTCGATAAGCAATTAGTTCATCTGACGGTCCATTGGTTTCACCGAGACAGAAAGCAGAGTCGCTGATATCTTTCCTACAAATAAAAATTTATTAAAGATGAAGTGAGGAAACGAAAAATCTAATTTTAAGTTTAACATGAACACGAAATTTTTACCGCTTGAAAATAATCGAATTCACAGGAAGAAAGTCAGAACAGAGGGGATGCGCACGAACAGATTGGGGCTTTCTTGTTGTAACAGACACCTAAGATGGTTCCAGTGGGGGTTTTCTGAGCAATTATTATGGAAGTATTTCAGAGAAGGTCTGACTTTTGGATCGCGCGCTAGTGTACTTCAGTATCAGTTTCTAAACAAGAAACTTTTATTCAGTTTTCCAACGATGCTTTTGTGAAGTTGGTACACCACTTGACATGAAACTGTGAACAAAGTTAACTGCGTTATTCCTTTCAACCGCTGCACTTTAGGTTAAACAGACACTTGGTGGATCACGCATTCATGACGGACTTTAATGGAAGGTGAGTTAATAGTTTTTGATTCAGAATATAAATGGATGTTTGGCTTTTGTTTTGATAATGAGATTATTTTTAAGTGATCCTAGACAATCTGTTGAATAAGTGCTTTAAATTCACCAGATGCTTTCATGAAATTTAGTAGACCTCTGTGTTACGAAGTAATTGTGATATGACAAAATAAAGGTTCATGGCAATTTGTTTGTTGGATATTTCAAACAATCAAACAGCACCACTCACCAGATGACGTAACGAATGAAGTTCATGGTTCACATTAATATCAAAGGCAGAAGAACCATAGAAACAGGGTGTGAAAATATTAGAGATGTCTAATCCTTAAAAAACTAACTTATGTATATTTTCATTGTAAAATGTAAACCTTGTTTTTGCGCCTTCCTCGTCCCACACAATGTTAATTATTTTTACCGCAGTTTAAGATACTAAACGTTGATTGGTTTGTTTTATATTTTTAATGTGCCAATTCGTTTTTCCTGGTCAAGACCTTTTAAAAAGCGTATAAACAACTGGGACTTAGGCTATAACCCCACAATTCGGTTGAATTAAATATACTTTCAATCCTATTGTCTTCTTCTTTAGGGTCAGTTGAGTATTGTGTCGAGCAGTCATTGTTCTATCGTTAATCGCATTGTTGGAGCATTATATCGTCCAGACATATACCGCAGATCAAAACAGAAAGATAGACAGTTGTCTCTGGTGTGGACATGAACAACAGGTTCTGTTCGGAAAGTTAACCAGCACATAAGACTGCACCACTGTGTGAAATATCCAACAAACGAATTAACGAGGAACAATACACCATCAAAGTCCCCAAGTTCTACTCTCAGAATAAAGTTTATCGTACTTTATTTATCCATTGTATATAAGTAAACGTTTAGTTGGATTAAAGGATGCGATAAGTCAGCCAATTTTCATGATTACTGCTCAATTTTGGGGGCGGTCGGCTAGTCAATCATTTCGTTCGCGTGAGCGCTAATCACTCACACAAACCAAGCTATATAGTGTTCATATTCCCTCTCCCAACGTATCATCATTCTATAATCTCCCTGTATAATCGAATGATACTAATTTATAACACCCACAAGTATATAGATACTACTACATAAGTCTTTACCAGACAACACATATCAAGCTGCTACACAACTTATTTGCTCACAAACCTTAATAATCAGTAACTGGGACCAACTGGATGAGATTACCATTCGCTTTCTGTGAAATAATACACTTACTGCTAAAGATGAGCAGAGATAATCTGTAACTACTGTGAATTTTAGCTAACTACAGCTCTAATTGCCTCAGAAAAAAAAATCCATCTTACCTTTTATCCTACAACTGAATGGTAACCGTCTTTTAATTCCATTCCCATTGGCTTTTGATAGCACGACTGCAGTAAATCAAACTTTCTTAGAGTGCGGCAGAACTTGAATTCTGGCTAGAGATCTACAGATGCAAGAAAGTTATCACAAAAATACGCCATGCACTTTGGCCCTAGAGACTACTACTATCATCAATATCAGGGGGTAGTCTGGCGACAATGAGAGACATCTTTTAGGCGATAAGCTGTAAACACAAGCATTTTCGTTTGCTCTGTACAACTTGGTACACAAACGTTAACTATAGAAAAATCTATATACTATAGCCCCTGTTCCAAATTTGATGTAGATTCACAACCTCCTCAACTAATTTGACTTTCTAGGCCAAAGGTAGACATGACTATCCCAGTTATTCAGTGGTGAGGAAACAGGTGCGGAATGTTTTGAAAAAATTAGTGAATATAAACCATTAGCTTTCTCATACTGTCCAATTTTTAACTGTAAATGAATCAACAGAACACAATTGCTTTATGCATTGTGCTGGATACGCTATAAACTAAGTAGATTGGTTATTTGTATGCAGCTGCTTGGTGTGTATCACGACTGTTGGGACAGGGGACTAATTGAGCTGGTTCGATAAAAAAATAATTCATCTTTCCAAACCAACCTAATGCAGCATGGGTATAAAAAGATGCACTATGAGTAGCAACATTAACAATATTCAGACGAGAAAAGTGGTGTGGATAGAAGGAAAACGACAAAGGAAAAACAAATAAAAGTTAATCATTGAAGAAGCGGTTTTAAAGATACACTTACTGCCTGTTTTACTCTTGAGTAGTCGGGGAAAACGAGAAAGCTGAAACATGTTCGATATTCGTTTTGACTTCAAAGGCTATGTCTAGTATCATCTCAAGCCAATGAGATGCAGGTCTCGCGGACCCTATTCAAGGAGTTGGAGAGAACAAACAAATGCTGACTTGACAAAATTACTGTTCGTCACACGTCATAAGGAAATTCACAGACCATCACTTCGCTTCTTCTAATCAACCTACTGCAAGCAAATAACGCACCGAATGACAACTGCTTGGATGACATTCTTAACGCACGTTCGAGCCACTGAAGCTAATTTCAAGATGACCTCACTCAATTTATGACGACTTCTAAAGCATCTGAATGCCTACAGCCTTGCCTCAGAACAGCTTATATGGCGTTACCGCCAGACGCTAGCAATCCTACGGAGTAAATGGTAATCAAATACACAAATTCATCAGAAATTCTCCATCAGAAGGTTTCATATATCCAGAACGAAATTCTTCAAACCGATGTGATGTACATCCGACGTTTTGCAGCAAGATAAACGTCAAAATAGAGCCAGCTGTGGTGCAAATTGGCGTACTTACTTTTGATATACGTTTAGAAACCTCATCAGTAAAATTTCCACTAGCACTCACAGATTAACTATTTCCAAGGGTCCACCACAAAGGATAAATTTAAATACAGGCTGCTGTTAATCTTATGAACGGTGGAAAGCACACGTTATACATACAGACTAGTTAGTTCTATCACCTTCTTGTGCACTATTAAACTTGATGTTGATGATCAGAAACGAAACGTCGCTTAGCATCTTACAAAACAGATCGCTCTTTTCAACCAGTGATGGCTTCCAGGTACAAGTCAGTGTCAAGACAAAACCTGGAATACTCTGTAACGGTACAAGAGTCGTCTTCATAGAATTTGAGTATAACCAAGTATTCAGTAACGTTATTTATTTACTTAGGTCCGCAATCCACTAGCAGCCATTAAAATTTGCTGTGAAATTTAAACGAAATGATTATTACACTACAACTACCAATAGAAAATAAGATTATACGAAAACGAATACAAATGGAAGCTTAAAAGTGGAAATAAGAAACCAACAAAATAGGAACACCAACATTTGTCATTAGCTCATCCTCATTTTACTGATTAAACAATTTGGACCATTGCATACATCAACACCAAAGTCGGTGTCATTAGCAGATCACTCCAACTTGTCATAGGAGTTCTGAGTAGTATTCATTTAAGTAACTGTTTAAACAACCCCACGTTTGCGTGTAGGTAAACACGGAAAGGCTACACCAACAAGACCATTCCGATCACAGCTTAACGATGAGAGCATTGAGTCTGTTGTCAAAAAGAAACTAGCTAGACAGTAAAGAGAGTAACTGAGTGTCACAAAAGAGTTTAGAAAAGATCAGTGGATTTCAAATGGGGTAGTGATGAGGCACTTAAAGACGGCGGCTGAGGATAATTGGTTGGTCTAAACCAAGTGTTGACTAGAGTACTGGAACCAGACATGATCCCCTCTGACTGGTATCCCAACCGGGGTTGCTACCTTGACGTGGTGACTGGGCTTGCATATCACAATGATACAACGAGCTATGCTAGCGGAACGTTTGTTCCTTCGAGGTCGTATCATACCAGAAAGATGAGTTGGATAGTGGTTAGACAAAAAGCAGTTACAGTAATAGTTTAAATACTACAGCCTAGAAATAGCACACTCTGCCCTCTCTCCCGGAAAAACGGAGTCGGCGACATGCGTCCATTAACGAACTAGAGAAAAGCAGACTAAAATCTGACAATTATAAAAGTACTGCACATGACTGACTGCAAGCAGATGTCCCACAAGCTTTTCAGTCACGGACTAACCCTTGTTTTTCAGCAGCCTCGCGGAGAACTGGAATTCCATGGTATAAGCAGCTGGGCAGCGTTAGCCGCCCGCACCCTTCCACTAGAATATAAAACACAACAAAACATAAACTACCCTAATTGCCTCTGTCTCTTCTTTGCATTCACTTCTTGATACCAGTAATAAGTCACTTATATCTTACTCAAGCTCTCACATGGTGACCATTACCAACAATCCAAGACAAATCTCATCTCAAATCTCCTAAAACCCAACTGTCGGTTGCACATTGAATCCTTCAACATGTGAACCACGTGCCAAATAGAACAACAGGCATTGATGAACAGAAATCTGGAATGTTGAGCAAAGCATGTATGCTGTCTCTGAGACACGTGCAGGACCCATGTGGTTATTAACTTGAACTCACCTGGTCAATTAGGTGAATCAACAAAATTCACCTTAACGGCATCCAGAGACTCAATGGCTACCTTTCGTCGACTCCCTGATGTGAGGATAGTACTAGACGGTAGGGCAAAAATGGCATTCCTTGACTGGATGACAGTCAACCGCCGTCCGTGTCCTGTTCGACTCAATCGATCTGTAAGAACCAGGAAGGACTATAAAACTAGACGATGCCTATTCGTAATCTCCACCTACCCGCCCAACGACTGCAGTTCGGATCATGCAAAGGATGAATTCTACTCAAAAGTTGTCAATTTCGCTACATAAAGCAAAACGTCTAGAAAGCGACTTTAACACTCAACTACGGAAGCTGAACCAATCGGAGAGAGGGTTCTTCAAAGTATTTACCGAATCCCATGCCAACAGTGATCGTCTCTAGCAATTATGCTCTGGCAATAACTTGTTTCTGACCAGCACTAACTCTAGGCATAATGACAGACACTGTCTCAATTGGTGTCCGCCGACATCAAACCAACGATGGACACACATACATTAAACTTCTATAAGCCATCGATGGAGGATAGCCACTCTTTCTGCAATACCAGTTCGCGCTCCGAACATGTATTAGTACGGGTTCGTGTATGCCTACATCCTACTGGTCAAGGAAACCAGGAGACAGTTAAGCCAGCGCGTGCACGATCGCGAGATGACAACGACAGGTACGCCTTTAAGGAAGAGGTACACGAGCATCTACTTGGAAGTGGCAGCAATCCTCATCCTTAGGAATTGTAGCGTGATATTCAGTCTGCCGTATTAATAGTGGTAAAGAGTGCTGGTCAACTAAATCCAGAGGTTACTAAACGTCATTGGATTTCCGCAAAGTCATCATAACTGACTGATGCGAGGATACTGATTTCAGCTGGCTTTAACTATAAAGAGACGCGAATATAATTTATACAAATTGACTTAGTGCTTGCGATGACTGCGAGCAGTGGTGATTGGTGAAGGCGTCAGAGTTGGATAACACGCAGTAACTACTTAAGCTTATTAAACACACTGCTAAGAAGACGGTAAGTGAAACCAATATTGAATGTGATGGTACTCAGGTAACCTCTCGGAAAAGACAGCCAGAAGGGTGGGCAAAACACTGAAGTGCAGTTCGTTTGGATTACAGCAACGCTTCGATTCTCAAGCGGTCAACTCGAACCTAAATGCGACATAGTTGTCTGTCCTCCAAGTTGAGGAAGCTGTCTCCAAACTGAAACGATTGCAATCCTAAGATTTTAAGCGTGGCGTTAGTAAGTTACTGGTCACAGCAACACAGGTACTGGATAGAGTGCATTACACTCCCACGTAGTCTCATCACACTGAGCCATATTGTTGATCATTCTAGTGTATAGGAATGGAGAGAAGTCTTCTTGTGACAACCGTAAGGGAATCAATTTGACTAAAATCAAGCCCAAAATCCAACGCCTAAGTGGAGCTAGAAAACAACAAATTCGAGAGAATCAGGCAGTTTTCGGACCTTGACGAGGATGCATCGATGAGATTTTTATCCCTTGACAATTTCTGAAACACAGACATAATTACCAGCCTTCGACACGCCATATTTCTTGACCTGAAGGTGGCGTACGACCCTGCCGATCATGAGGTGCTGTGGTAAAGTCTGGTTGAGAAAGGAGTATTGAGCTGACTGACTGCCTGACAAAATCAACGTTAAACCTCGCACACACGTGCATCAGCTCAAGTTGCCACACTTCACAATAGCACACAGAGAACAGGTGGATATAAAAAGTGATATCGAAGTAGAAGTGGTGTGAGAGAAGAAACGAGCTGGAGAGAACTGTCAGTGCAAATATTCAAACTTTAGAAAGCGTCAATGAGTGAACACATGTGCGCCATCGTTACCAATTTTCAGTCGTCACCAAAACTATTTAGCCACCGCTTTCTTCCGTCTTCGAGACGCCAACTAGGTAGTCCATATCTCCCCACACGGCTCAGATCAATGATCAGAGACTTCACAAACTGGTGCCACGTCTTAATATGGCTACCCTGAACCCTCTTCCAGCCTAATCCAACTTCCTCTAGCATGACACGTCGAGGTAAGGGATGACTCGGCGTGCTCAACACATGTTTACGCTACCTCAGTCGCTGGGGGTTCACGACCTCATTGACTGACGTCCTTCATTGTCTAATGCTCTTCACCAGACCTCGATATTCATAGTCGAAAACCTGTGTTCTCTTCATATCTACTTTTACGGCTATGTCTCAGCCTTATAACGGAATAGAAAGGACTGCAGTGTATCGTTCTCGTCCTTTGATAAATATTCAGATATTTTGCCGATGCCACAGATGACGCAAGTTGGCAAGCGCCAAATGGGTCTTCACTATTCGAGATGGGACTTCGTCAGCAACCAGGCCGTTCAAGTTGGTGCAACTCCCCAAGTAAAGTGGTCGACAGATTCCACCACTTTACTCCCTACCATTAAACCGAGAGTACTCGCAGACCAATCCTGGAGCATCATCTTGCATTTGATAAGTGCTAGCAAGATGCATGCCAAACAAATTTCGATTTCTGCCCGAGTTCAGAAGATCTTGCATTTTGTCAGCGTCTTCACCTAGCAGGACAATACCGTCTGCATACTCCAGGTCAACCAGGTGACTGCTAAGGAGTAGGCCAATCCCTATGAAGTGAGACGTAACTAGGGTTAAGTCCATTAGCACATCTATAACGAAGTTAAATAGAAACGGTGACAGTAGGCATCCCTAGTAGGCACCACTTGTTGTCATCAGTTTACATGACAACTACATAAGCCTTCATGAGTTCCAGTAGAAAGCTTTGATTAGCGTTAGATACTTGCACGGTACTCCCTTCAGTCAGACACTGTCACAATACCTCACAGTCAACAGAGTCAAATATCGCCTGTAGGTCAACAAATATAAAAAATGTCGGCGGCCAGTAGGTTTATCTGTGTTCCAAAACCTGTCAAGGGGTGAAAATCGCATTGAAAAACCCTCTTTTGGGTCGGAAACCTACCTGGTTTTCTCGAGCTCCACTTGGGCGTCGGATAACTATAGATTTTAGTACCTTGGACACGACATTCGTCGAGCTAATCCCCCTACGATTGTCACAGGAAGACTTCTTTCCCTTCTTATAGACTGGGGATGATCAGTGGAGCAGAACAGTCCGACAGCCAAACGTCTGATTCCTATACACTACCTAGTACGTCCGTCACTTATTAGCAATTTCCTACCTTCATTCTTGAAAACTTCGGGTGCAAACACTCAGGTTTGACACAGACTTCTCAACATCAAGGAGACTTGAAGGGTTGATATTTACTTTCTATTCAGGTTTAGGCTGAATGTTGGGCAACCGAAGGTTGTTGAGGGTCAGATGAAATATGCTGCAAAGCTTTCTGCCCAATGTTTTGGCCGCCTGTCTTGGGAGGTTGTTAGCGTCTAATCCTTTTCAGTGATGGTTTCACTAACCATCGTCTTATTCCTACCGGAATCCTAAATAAGCCTAAATGGTTGTCGGACGTTACCTAACGTTGAGGCCTTCGCTATATCTCTCGCTTTCGTCACCCACTACTGCTCGGGATAGACTTGAAGACTTTTAGGTCAACTTACGTTTGAATTCCCTTTCGCTTTTCATCGCAGTCAGTCAGCTGAGATCGATCTCGCATCATTCAGTTCGAATGATGTTGCAGAAGTCCAATGTTTATTAACCTTCGGTTGTAGATTACCTTGAGTGGAAATTCGAAATTATTTGGTAGCGTTTCTCGTCTCCCAAATGCGAATTATTTCTTCAATACTGGTTTTCTGAGGTGCCCCGGCTAACAATAGGGAGCGAAGTGGTCAAGTGCATTGAACACTTTGATAACGTGGGAAGTCTGACCAAACCTGGTGGGTGAGGGGCAGCGAAACAAAATTATTATCAGTGGGTGAGCCAATTAGGGAAAGGTAGACCTCTAGGTTGGCACCAACTTGAGAATCGAAATCAGTGATTGAAAACTAAGAAGGATGTGGCTCACAACTGACCTCAATAACGCAGAGCAATCTATAGATTATTATCTTCATCGTCATACAGAATTCCAAAATGGTCTTATTTCATCTCCTCTATTTTAACTACTATATGCCATTTTTCACTACTCTCCTCTTTGGTTGTTCGCTTTCCAGTTCGATGTTCTGATTTGTAGTGTGATAACTTGGATTGTTATGAAGTAATCCCGGTCCCATATTGACATTGGCTTGATATGGGCCCCACAGCTAGCTATGCTGCTGTGAAGAATCATGAGGTTTGATTTCACAGTAGTATTACTCAATATGTCTTGAGACGGTACCATGCTGGAATTCCCTTTAAAACGAGAAAGCTGCGGAGACATAACAAAATAATAGAGTTAGTAGAAGCAGAGCTTCCATAAAATTAGTGAAAAGCTTCATTGAATTACACATTCCTACAGATTGAGTGACATACACAACTAGTGCACTCAATAATGAAAAGCGATGATATGAGATTGAGATGACATGAGAAACAACTGCGATGCAGTGCTAACCGTTGTACGAAATTCACCAACTTACATTTTTATCCGGATATCAGAATCTGAGAGAATGAGCTGTTTGGTTTTTAGAAGTTCTTCTGATGCAAGATGAACTTGTTCCTCAAGAGCACCACAACTATTTCGAAGTTTCCTGTAGTTGAAAAAAATCAGAATGCATGCAGTAAAGTTATTTATAACTGTGAATTCAGCAAAAGAAACCATGGCAACTATCAGCGAAAACCTCAGTTAAAAAAACCACACCAAATTGCGGAATAGAAACACTAATATAATTAGAACGGTATAAAAACAGAAAACTGCTGAATCCCAGGTGCTGGTGTAATTATAACCGATAGAAGCTACTAGGAACCTTTAACGAGAATGTGCCTTGTTTTTCCGATTTCACCTAGTCTACTTCTAGTTGCACCAGTTCACCTGAAATTGTCTTATGCATGATACGTATCAACACGGACCTCGTTACATCCCTAGGTCATTCACAAACAATTTTCTTCGTGATGGCATGCACTTCTGATGATTTAAATGCAGCCTGTCCTGTCATTCTTCTGTGTAAGTACCTGAAAGAAACATGAAGTGAGAAACACTCGCTTAAATAATCTGGACATATACGGCAGTGCTCTACAACTTAGCGAACTGACTAACTGGGAAGGCCAACTACGAACCACCATGTTGAAAAAGTGGAGGTTAGGGTACGCAACATATACAGCTGATTATTCGGAAAAGAAATCCATAAGTAATCATACTTTTCTTTGAAGTGCTTCAAAACTTGGTAACTATCCGATAAGAGGTAACTCCAAAACGAGAAGTTATATGCTGACTAAAATATTAATGTTCGCTATAAACTACGGACTGAAACTGATCATACAAACAGGTGAGATTTCCAATAAACGTGCCTGGAAACCCGAACACACGAAATACAAACCTGTTAGATCTATGCCTTGTACCTCGCAGCTACAACAACCTAACTCAATGAGAAGCGCCAAAGTCACTCACCATGTAACGGAAACCAGCAAACAGCAGAGAGTATTTAGAAGCAATATATATTAGGGTCTCTCTTCCCCAAGATGAGAGTTACGAAATACTTACCTTAGAAGTTGCACTTCCAAAAGGACGTATTTTCTTGACCGAATAAGATTAAGCCGAGCTTTTTTGACAGAATGACACTTCAATTTATCCCGTGCGATACTCTGACCCGGTTTAAATACTGAGCTGTTGGTGACAACCAGCACATAAGAAGAGAGGCCCGCCAGCAGGCGCAAAACTCTATGTCCAGTAGGAAAGCCCCAAATGGCAAAAAAACTCGAAGCAATACCAGGAAGCTGCAAAAGTTAACATTTTACACAAACACACCTCAGTTGACAATGAACGCAGCCACCCGTTAACTGCCTTTTTAAAAGCTACCTCCAACTTTGGTCCCTCTAATCCACTGCAAACATCACATAATAAAAAGACTGGTACCTCAACTCCGCCTCATATTTCAGTGGATGTAAATTTCGGAATAAAAAGTGAAGAATGTGCATAAACTCAATCCTCCGAGGAAGTTTGAAAAATGCTCTACAAGTGGTTAGACAACCAATCTTCTACTCACAAAAGTGAACAGGAACACTTGGGGACACCGTGTTTTTCGAAATCATACTTTAAAACCATCAGATTTCTTATGAGTGCAGCCGCACGTCGATGCTGCAATTCCCGTCGCACATCTGGCATTATAATGAAGATATGGTTTCTGCAGGGCGCCAGTAAACGGTTTTAATGAAATCCCGCGAGGGAGACAACCTCCTGTGATTTCAATGTCCAATCTCCTTTTTTGAGCTTATGTAAGCCAACTGATTTCTTCGTGCTCGCTTTATGATCTTACCAATTTCTGCCGCATTCGCAAAAAACCCTTAGTTTCTTGGTTCTAGACTTCCTCCAGGAGGTACACGTCTGTTTCAACTATAGTGGTACAATGACGTTGCAGACATAAGTGAGGTTTTATAAAGCTTCAGGAAGAGTTGCACAGAGAGGGCACCTAGCTACCTGCACTTGGAGTGCAGTGCTATGTAAGCTGTAGAGGTATATACTGGATAACTTTAGCAGGTGTCCAGCTTGTCAGTCAGTATTAGTCCTAGGTCTTTCCACATGGTTGCGCATCACAGAAACGATAGGGTACCTTTGGCAATTTGGAGGTGCGAAGAAACATCGTTTGGCACCTATCTACATTAAAAATTAGTCAGCTGCTATCCATACACTATCCAAGCAGCCTGAGATAGCTTTGTTTTGCACTGGATTCTGAATCGGTTGTCCCAACTCTCTGTAGCTTAACGTTGTCAACGCAATGTAAAATTGGGAAGTTGAGACTCAGTAGGAGGTCACCCACCAAAAGAAGGAATAACAGCAAGTCCTGGATCGCTCCTGGTGTCACACGAGATCATTATGTCTTCTAAGTCCAGCAAGCCTTGTTGACCTCTGTTCAGTTCTCTGCCGTCTGAATAGTCCTGAAGCCATTAGGCCACTTGACCGTTGGCAGCTTTGCTTCTCGCCATGAATCGGTACAAGCTTTCGGGGTTTGTTTAAAACTTCTCGGCAGGGCTTCCGTCGAATGCTTCCTGTCTACCCTCACCCTGATGTTGCATCGGTTTCCTAGACCCATACATGTGCTATGATCTAACACTTTTCTAGAGATCCTCCGTGCGTGCCACGCTTCCATCTCGACTTTCTGGGGCTTTGAGCGCCTCGTTTCGGCCATGAGGTTCGCTACTTCGGTGCTGCTGTGACCACTGGGACGCGTTTTGGGGGAATCCCTCTTAGTGATGTCGCTTACTAGTTCCCAGTGTAGACCAGTCAACAAAGTGCCCCCCCATTGGGCCACGGTTCTGTCAACATATATTGGTTCATTACCTCGTAGTTTGCCTTGCCGTAAGGACTGCAAGTGTAAGATCCCTCCCACGTTAGTTGTTCCCTGAACATCCGGTGGAACACTACTGTGCTGTGACTGCTACTGCCAAGGGAGGTCTTAACCTCCACGTCTGCTAAGAAATGGTCGCTAGTAAGAAGATGGCCTAGTTTGGACGATTTCCCACCTGACCCCCATCGAGTGTCCGAATGTACGAGTGTGGAGTGGATCCAGGCGGAGTTCGGTAGCTCCGACAGTAGTGTTTTGGTGGTTCGTTGACTTTTAGGATGGCCACTCATAAACGCTGCTACTCCGCCTCCCTGTGCCACTCCCGTCTTCCGAACGGGGGTATGCCGTGTATACCAGCTTCGACGCTGGTGATATCTGGCGATGACCAAGTCTCTGTCAGGATTATAGTCTCTGGGGTGAGGCAGAGATGGGGAGATGGTAGTTCCACCATCTTACCTCGAGGTCCCCATACACTGCTGCAAGGACATTTGGGGGTGCTTCTAACAACACGAAGTTTCATGGTGTCGGCTGACTGAGAGGGTCATGTGGAGCGGTAAACGTTTTCAGTGAGAGGCTGGTCTTGATGGGACCGGCCTGCTTGAGTATCTTCCCATATGGGTTTCTGGAAATATAATCTAATTTTATGGGTGGCATGCTGATGTGTGGTGTGGTAGCTCAGACCATTGTAAAGTAATCCTAGTCCAATGTTAACGTCTGCTTGACATGAGCTCCGAAGTTAGTTGAGCTGCTGTGAAGAGTCATAAGGTTTGATTTCGCAAAAACGGTATCACTCAACATGTTTTGAGGTGGTACCATGCTGGAATTCACTTTAAAACGATAAACCTGCAGAGATATAACAGCGGAATAATAGCGTCATTACTCAGAATTCCATATCCTAAGTCACTGCCCGGAGTGATTCTGCGGTCCTCATAAGTCTGACAGATAACCCCGATCTCGCGTGCAGCCTATTGCTCAGGAATAATAAGGTTAAATAAATAAATAGACGTTTTATTCTCGCTTTAAAAAAAGATTCTAACATGAGAGAAGTCAGTTTACAGGCTTCATCACGTTGATATATCTCAAAATATCTACAAGACTTGAGTTCTGAATGGTACTGACGGAGTTTCATTACACTCAAATAGAAACTGTCGAAGGTCTTGCTAGTTATGAAATAAGCAAGGAAATATTACTTTATAGCATACATAGAGTGTTAAAGTTTAGATAATAAATATTGTCTTCACTTAACGGGTTCAACATAAGGGATACCAGTTTACAAGCACCGTCAAATTCATAATTTTTGAAAGTTTACGGACTGGTATCTAGTGCTGAATAAATTACGTATGAAGTCATTAGTGTGCATAATCCTATTAAAATCTACTGAAGTTCGTGAGACGGATATGGATTCCCATCTCCCATCTCACAGACAAGTTCCACTATCAGTATCAAAAGCGCGCAGTGTTCAAAGTTTGCGTCATAACCAACCGACGTTGCTAGTCTATTCGCACAGTCTGCTAAGTTGCAATATAACAGTTTATTACCTAGAATGACCTTCAGTTATTAGCTTTGCTAACCACAAAGGACTCATTCATACAATCTGGAGTATCAACAAAATATCCACAGTTATACAACCAACGTGTATGGCCATATCAATGCATTTCCAGGTCCCCGTGTTATGTTTGAAGGTAATATAGATTAATTCTGCTGGGAATACTTGTTGTATCGGGTGAAAGTAGATGTTGAAACAGTCAATAGTCCAAGTGGCAGTATTTATACATAGACTTCGGGTATCTTTTGCATTAGCATAGGTGGCATCATTCGAGAAGTGTATTTGATGCGTAGTAAGTTTCATATGAAAAGGTCTCTTGGTACAGAGTACTAAAAAATATGTAAGGTAAGTGACGTCCTGAGCCAATATAGCAATCAGCCTCTAGTTTAATCATCTGTTCAGAATGCCTGTGCTACTAATACTGTTGGGAATGGTCAGACGGTTCTTCGAGAGAAAAATCATGACCAGTATGTGAGTTATTCTTGAAGATGGTCCAGAATTTGCGAAACAGTGGGAGCAGTCCATTAATTATTGGCGTCAATGAGCAGGTATTATTCCCATAAGGTGATCACGTTCAGACTGAACTTGAACATCAAATGTCGACTTGCAGCTGTTTCTGCAGATAGGGAAAGAAAGGAGAGGCATGAGCAGATATGGAAATGCAGATTACTATGCTATCAAATTTGGAGAAGAGAAAGTTCCCTATCCTTTTTTGATTCATTCGGACTTCATGTACATTTTCATGTATATATGTGAAGTCAACTACATAGTCCTTCCATTGTAGAGTTATTAAGTCGTTTTTTTGGGAGGGGGGGTGTATCGTAGTGGCTTTCAGAAATCAACAGTATTCTTTAAGTTCATTATACGGAGAGGAGCCAGTATTCATACCTTTGTGTGCAACCGTAAGGCCATCTGCATTGAAGGAACTGTAGGTTTTTAATAAAACCGATCCTTACATTTAGAGATCTGAGTACGTTCACGGTGAACGCAATGGCTTGACCACTGTTATGTGCTGATTGCTCTATTATGCTTCGTATTTGTGGATATAATATGAATGTCAAGAAATTTCTAGATATCCGTGAAAAGGAAGAATCCGTTGAGTAGACGCCGAAACTGAAATGCAGACATGCAGGTGCGAATAAAATGTGGAA